ACCGTGCTCAGCGCGCCCATGTCATTTTTTGTCAAGACCGACTCCGGCGTCACCTTGAACCGTTTCAGCCAAGACCTCCAACTGATCGACATGGAGTTGCCCACTGCGGCCCTCAACACCTTTGCCAGTACGGTCAATACCTCAATTCTACGGAGTTTAGGCACTAACATTGCTCGCCCTTAGCGTTTGTCCTCTGCCTCGCCCAGATGGCACTCATTGGTTACGGGTCCATCTACGCCGCGATCTCATTCCCCATCGTCCTTGTGTCTTTGTACTTCATCCAGATGGTGTACCTACGGACGTCTCGCCAGCTTCGTCTGATGGATATCGAGACCAAGGCCCCGCTTTACTCTCTCTTTGAAGAGTCGCTGAGCGGTCTTGCCACGATCCGCGCTTTTGGATGGCAAGATGCCCTGAACGACCGAAACTACCGGCTCTTGGACAGCTCACAACGGCCGTTTTACCTCTTGTTCGCCGTCCAGAGGTGGCTTACACTGGTCCTGGATCTGGTCGTGGCCGCCATCGCCGTGATGCTGATGATACTGGTGGTTCAGCTCCGCGGCACCATGGCGGCCGGCGGCGTGGGTCTTGCGCTGCTCAACGTGATCCAGTTCAGCCAAAACATCAAGCTCTTGGTCACCTTTTGGACGACGCTGGAGACACACATCGGTTCGGTCGCGCGCATCAGGAGCTTTACTGGGACGGCAGTGCCAGAAGACCTACCCAGGGAGGATCAGCCCGCTCCACCAGGTTGGCCATCAGCAGGGGCGATGGAATTTGACAACTTGTCGGCTGCATACAAGTAAGATTCCATTTCCATCCTGTCCCGACAGTTTTGCTAACTAGAGCCGTTTTTCACTTCGTCAAACAGCCCAGATGAGTTGGTCTTGAAGAATGTCTCCATCTCTATCAAGCCCGGAGAAAAGATTGGAATTTGCGGAAGAACGGGCAGCGGAAAATCATCCTTGATCATGAGCCTCTTCTGTCTCCTGGACCTGCAAGGGGGCTCAATCCGCGTGGATGGCGTGGATATCACGACGCTCCCGAGACAAGAGATCCGGAGCCGGCTGGTTGCCGTGCCACAGCACCCTTTCCTTCTCAAAGGCTCCGTCCGACTCAACGCCAATCCGTATGGAGGTGCCTCGGATGAGGATATCATCGCCGCACTCCAGTGCGTCCAGATGATAGAACCAGTGGAAAAGAATGGGGGCTTAGATGCCGACATCGATGCCCTGAATCTATCCGCCGGACAGAAGCAACTGTTTTGCCTTGCTCGGGCAATGTTACGTCCTGGCACCATCTTGGTCTTGGACGAAGCAACAAGCAGGTATGCAAATGATGACCACCCAGCCCCAAACCATGCCTGGTATATGCTTCAAACACACTAACCAACTCTTCACAAACAGCATTGACGCGAAGACTGAGGAAACCATGCAGCGCCTAATTCGGAAAAAGTTTGCCAACCACACTGTCCTTGCTGTTGCTCACAAGATCGAGACGATCCTTGATTTTGACAAGGTGGCGGTACTCGACGCGGGAGAACTGATTGAGTTTGACAACCCGTATGCTCTACTCGACGTGCCCGGCTCTCAATTTTCAAATTTGTACAACGCGGCGGTGGTCGCAGAGGAGGAGAACGTGACAGATAAGTCCATGTCTTAGATGACTTGGCGGCTGACGGCGCAAATACATGCTTTTATGAGCGTTGAAAATAATGAGAATTTGATTCATCAGCTGCCGGCTTTGCTTGCGAGTGATGTTTAAGTTCGTCTAGCTGCGAGATGATTCTGGCGTCCTCAACTTTCGCAAACCCGCTAAATCGACGGTATCTTACACCGTTTTCAACTTCCAGTGCCGTTGCCCTTGCCATTGCGATCGCCGTCGACTTGCCGTTGCCCTCGCTCTCGCCCTCACAATCTATCGGCCACCAGAATGGTATCCAGGGCATAACTTTGCCGTGTTTTGATATGGCAGTCATGGTAGGCCTGTGGCCTAAGTCGGTAGACATCGACGAATTAGGGACTTGACACTGTCGATTTGGGGGTTCCGACTTTTGCCACGATTCTTCCTTTGCATAATGACACAATTCCAACCTGAACCCTGATTACACTGGCACGGCATAATTAACTTTCTACCATGGTAGCGTGATAGCCCCTCATCCCACTGCATGGGGAATGCGCTCACTCTCGAAGGGGTTGTTGGTTTCGATGGAGGTGGTTTACCCGATGATGTTTCTATTCTGGCCGTGACCCTGGTTTTTAGTTCGATGGTGTTTTCCGATTTTACTTGGCCGAGGCCGTTTCACTGGCCCGGTACTCTGCCCTGGAAGATGTGCGCCTCAACGGCCGAGGGCGAGAGAGACACGCTGGTGGGTGTCAGGGTGTCATCGTGCTTAATGGGATTAATGGGAGTGGGGAGGGTGCTGGCGCCAAAATAGGGCAGCAGGGCAGCCCTGCCAGCTTCAGCTGTTGCTATTTCGGGCGTCCTGCCAGGGGATGTTCGAGCGATCTCCAAGCGCAGCGTTACATCCGCGCCCGCACGCCTCAACGCTTACTCCTTGGCACGGCGCAACCTTCGTCCCACCCTCACGGACGCGGTAACGCGGGGCAGCAATGGCGTTGCCCCATTGGACGGCTACCGCCAGCAAGCTGAGGAGCTTGAAGCTTGTTCTTTGGTGGTGAAATGTTTTACACCCCAGCCCGTCATCAACATCGAGTTTGCCCTCTCCGAGCATAAACCTGTGCCGCATCGCGAACATGGTGCAGACCAGGGCATCTTGCGCCGGCAAGACAGCCCCTGCACCCTCGTAGGAAAACCTCGCCGAAGGTCGGACTCAAGCTCCGGTCCCGGGTCATCATCTTGCAACAAACCTTAGCCAGTTTCTAATTTTGCAACCGACGATGGGTACGTTTCGGCGTGGTGACCGACAACAAGCTTCGAGGCCGTCAGACAGGGCTTTTCGGGGTGATTCGGGACTCGCGGTATCCACGATGAGGCTCCCCTCGGTTGTGCACCAAAGGAGAACGGGAGAGTGACCATCGTGTATAAAGGAAGCTGCCTTATCTGTTCCAGCTGCTCTCAAATCATCGGCCTCATCATCCAACACTCCCTTCACTGTACTTTATCATCCCCCAACCAGCAACTCTCCTTTTACTTTATCTTTAAATCCAACACAAAACCACACAGAGTCACCCACAATTTCGACATGAAGTTCCAGCTCATCACCACGGCGGCCGCCCTCCTGGTGGCCTCAGTTGCCGCCCTTCCCACCCCCCGACCCGACAACCACGGCCTCCTCACCGACACCGACGACGTTGTTGATGATGGCACCATCGAATTTGTCGAGGCCCGCGGTCTCAAAGACGATGATGAGGTCAACGACGCCATCGTCGCCCGCAGCACTGAGGACGCCGAAGTGAGCGAGGCCATCGACTTCATTGAGGTCCGATCCACAGAGAATGCGGATGTGGAAGAGAGCATCGAGTTCGTGGCGACCGAGGATGCCGACGGCCTTGAAGCCCGTGATGTTGACGATGAGGTCACGGAGGATATCGAGATCCTCCAAGCCCGGGATGTGGAGGACGATGAGGTCAGCGAGAGCATCGAGGTTCTTGATGCCCGTTCTGCCGCCGACCACGAGGAGGAGGTCGGCGAAGGCAATGAGCCCTGGATCGAGGCTCGCGATGTTGATGATGAGGCCAGCGAGGAGGAGGTCGGCGAAGGCAATGAGCCCTGGCTCGAGGCTCGCGATGTTGAGGATGAGGCCAGCGAGGAGGAGGTCGGCGAAGGCAATGAGCCCTGGCTCGAGGCTCGCGATGTTGAGGATGAGGCCAGCGAGGAGGTTGGGGAGGGCAACGAGCCTTGGATCGAGGCTCGCGATGTGGAGGACGATGTCACCGAGTCCATCGAAGAGGTTGGCGCCGCCGAGGTCGAAGCACGCGATGTGGAGGACGATGTCACCGAGTCCATCGAAGAGGTTGGCGCCGCCGAGGTCGAGGCACGCGATGTGGAGGACGATGTCACTGAGTCCATCGAAGAGGTTGGCTCCAGCGAGGTGGAGGCACGGGAAACGGAGACTGAGGTAAGCGATACCCCTGAGACCATCAAAGAAGATTGATGGCGGCTGATGTTGACGCCCGCAGTACTAATTAGACCGAGGCCGCCATCGAGGCCCGCTCCGTCCGCATTACCGAGGCCGCCGCCAACTTCAACTTCACGGCCGACTTTGACTCTGCGCTCGACCGCCTCCTGGCCGCCATCGACGACATCCCTGACGAGATCCTGGAGCAGGGCGACGATGCCTTGCACAAGTGGCTTGTCAAGCACGGCTACCGCGAGGGCAACGAGAAGCTAAAGCGCGACGACGACACCGACGTCTTCGCACTCCTCACGCGTGGCGAGCTCGCAGCCAGGGCTTCGATCTGGAATATCGCCAAGTGCGTGGCCTCGATCGTCCAGCTGCTCGCCACCACGGCTGTCCCCGCGGCCAAGCTCCTCCGGATCAAGAAGTACATCAAGGCGCTCGGCGGCACCAAGGACGCTGTCAAACTCCTGCTGGGCGCCACGACCAAGGCGGAGAAGCTCAAGGTGGGCGGCGAGGTTTTGGTTGCGCTGGCGGCCGAGCTGCTCGGTATCAGCACCGTCAAGAACAACTGCTTCTAAGGTTGAAAAATGGAATGGGGGTGGTGCGGGACGGTGGTGGCAAACTCGAGGTCGGGATAGATACTGACAGGCGTTCTGGAGGTTGCTTTGGTTGGATGCGTGGGGCATAAATCTCATTCTGTACATATGGGCGCTTTTCGTTTTCGTCTTTGGGTCAATTTCTTCTTTGTTTGTGTTTAGGTCCAGTATATAAGCTCTTCCCCCAAGACTGGTTCTTTTGTGCAAAGCTCAAGTCATGTCATGTTCGTCCCCGGTCAATCAGTCAGCCAGAGGGCAAGGGAGTGAGGGCAAAAGCAGATGATCAAAACACATGGCAACAACCCCCAGCTCCAAAAACACGATCCACCCAGGGGTCGAACCTGGAACCTCCTGATTGCCCCGTCTCTCGGATGCTTCGCAGCTGGAGACGGTCGTAGTCAGACGCTCTGCCATTGAGCCAGCGGACCTTGTTGAGATGCCAAGCGCAGATTTGGATTGAAGAAGATAGGGGATTGCTGCGCGATTTTCCGACGTTGTTTCCACTCCGAGTGGAGCATTTGTGCAAGCGTTGGAAGGAGAAAAGCAGATTGGGACCGCCACTGAGTTCTGAGACCCGCCACCAGCCCTGCCAGAACACAGAACACAGAACATGGGAGCACGGCAAGGCCGTGGCTCGGAGCATGCCACAACCAGAATCAGGGGGAACCGAGGTGGTGGCGCCCCACCACCAACGGAGGCATCCATCACGGATGTCAATCAATCGAGAGCTTGGTCCTCATCCATTCATTCATTCCCTTGTCTGCTTGATGCTTGTCGAACAAAGTCTGCGGCATGGCTCACGCTTGTGGAGTTGGGGAAGAGTTGGCAATAGCCTCGACAATTGATTCAAGTGACTTTGATGTCGAGCCAACGTAAGGAGGTGCGGCAGGGAAAAGAATACGTAGATGACTGAGCTTGGGAAGTCTGTGGATGGGCGTGCTCCATGGTCGCGTTCTTGTGGAAGAGTTGGCGCATTTAAGTATCCACTTGGTGCTGGACATTGGCTTGACGAGGATCCACGGCGGCCAACGTCAGACGCGCCAGGCCTCGTCAACCTGCAGCTGTCATGCAGAGCTGCCTCTTTCGGCTCGGCAATCATTGGGCTGTAGCCATGCAACTCTGTTGCCCCAAATGATCTTGAACCAATCATAGTATTGACCTTGACCGTGTTCATGCATGGGCTTGACTGCTCGGGAAGGCCTTTGGCTCGTAAAGCTGTGAATTGGACGAGGAGGGCAGGGACACGACCTTCGGCATGATGAGGCGGCGGAGGAAAGTATGCCTCCTATTGTCTGATCTCTCATTGGATTACAGAGGTTGGCTTTGTCTGGGCAACACGAGAGCTGCCTGGGCCGGCCAGTCCAGGTGGAATCAGCAATCCCGAGTCGGATAACAGAACAGCAACAAAGACTCTTGAACTAATTAAGTCTTGGCCAGAATATACACAGGAACAAGCACGACTCCCAACATGCATCTCGAAGTCCAAGCCGTGTTGCAGCTACTGCTGGCACAAGCAGCCAGCATGCTATAGGGCGCGCTCTCCTTTCCACTTCACATCGAAAGCATGCCATCCGAAATGGAAGACCAACCGCGGTTGGAGATCATCAAGGATATTCCCATCGGGAATGGCCTTGATTCCTTCCACGCTTCGTTCAATACGGTCTGCGCAGACAGGGGAATTCCGTGCACACTCGACGCGCCCGGTTAACTCGACCCCGAAGGTAGGATCCGCCAGCCTAATATGCCCTGGAATATGTAAGCTGGTTGCAAACGGTTTGATTTGTAACGAGCCCTTGTTCGCACGTGGCAATGCGCCGGCAGCTGCAACCCTACCTCGCTGGTAACCCGTCGCGTCTCATCAATGTTGGCTAAGAACATGGGAATGCTTAGTTACGGAATACCGAACTTGCCGCCTTCTAATCTCCCGCGAATGTCGTCTTTCCCTCATTTGGTTGTCCCAGCGAGAGCATCTTACACACATGATACCGCTCTGGTGGAGCATCAATGAGGGGGTGGCACGCATTAACTAAACCTAACGCAGCTACTTTCCGCCGCGGACGGACACAAGTTCTATCGGGGCGGGGCCTTACAGCGTAGCAGTGCTCCACGGGGCTGACTGAATGTTGAGCTGATTTCGGTATTTCAACCAAGCGTAGTCTAGGGCCTGGTTAAACTAAAACGCCAGAGACGCCGCCACAGTCGACCTATTGTCGCACGATGCGGATAAGGATCTGTTGCGCCCCAGAACAGGCATAGGGTTTCGTCCTTTTTCCACGTGAGAGTCCAAGTCCGTGACTCGCCAGTCAGGATCGCCACGTGTGACGTTACGAATCCGTCCATCATAAGGGAGACAGGCAGCTTTCCTTCACCGTGATGGCACCCAACCTTGAACCGGGTGGAAGCTTGACTTCAACTTGCTTCTGTCTCTGTCAGCCAATATGAGAGCGATTCTGGGGTTCGCCCTCGGGCTCTTGACTGTGGTGGCGCCGACATTGGTGGCCGCTGAGGGCATGGACGTACTCCTCCAGGCGCTCCCGAAGTGTGCGGTATGTCTAGATTTTTTTTTATGATGATGGAGAACCAAGAGCTAACATTATAGCCATTTCTTCGATAGGGCGACTGCTTCCTTGACAGCGTTGCGCGCTCTGCTTGCGCGACAAACCAAACCGCGGCATGTACCTGCAACGATTCGAATTTCAAGGGGCAGATGACGCAGTGCGTTATGGCCAACTGTACGGTTAAACAGTCGCTCGGTACGTGTTTTAGGAACCAGCAGTTACTTGGAACCAGCAGGGGCTGACTTGTCCTGGGCTGAACAGCAACCATGAACATCACAAGTGCAGCATGCGGTGCGCCAGTACGTGACCGAGCCGGTAATTTCGACACAGGCCAGATCATCTTCGCCGTTATCACGGCTTGCATCGTGTTAACCCGGTTGGGTTTTGAGGTGTTTGTTGTACACAACCTGGCACCGGACGACTATATGTTCCTCGCCCTCGCCCTGATTGCCGCGCCCAGCGTGGCTTTCATACACCACGGCACAGCACCCAATGGCGGCGGCCGTGATATATGGACGTTGACACCCCAGCAAATCACCAACTTCCTCTTCTACTTCTACCTCCAGACCATCTCCTACTTTATCAACGTCACGCTGATCAAGCTGTGTCTACTGCTCTTCTACCTACGTATCTTCCCGAGCGAGATAGTCCGCCGCCTGCTCTGGGGTACCCTTGTCTTTACCGTGTTATACGGCATAACATTTTTCTTCCTGGCCACTTTCCAGTGCAGCCCCGTCCGTCACTTCTGGTTGCACTGGGACGGCGAGCACCAGGGCATATGTCTGAACTTGAGTGCTATTGGGTGGGCCAACGCCGCCTTTAGCATTGCCCTCGACTTCTGGATGCTGGCGATTCCCCTCTCCCAGCTCAGGACTCTCACCCTCCACTGGAAGAAGAAGGTTGGAGTAGGGGTGATGTTTTTCGTTGGTACCTTGTATGTCGCCCCTCCCTCCTCCTCCCTTTTGCTCCTATCTAACCCTTGTCTTAGCGTTACGGTTGTTTCTATTATCCGTGTCAAAGCCCTTATCACCCTTGGTATGTCGAGCAATATTACATGGGACAACCACCCCGTGACTATATGGTCGATGATCGAGCTTAACGTGGGCATCATATGCATCTGTATGCCAACCCTCCGCCTGCTGCTGGTCCGCCTCTTCCCTAAGCTTGGCAGGGGGGGAACCAGTTATATAAACAGGTATCAGCACCACTCGGGCGGGGCTCAGGGGTTGTCCGGCAGGGGGGCGCGGATGGGCCAGGGACGGACGGGCCAGGGGCGGACGGTAGAGGACTCGACAAGCACCTTGAAATCCGACGGCGCACAGTCTGGTAGTAGCGTGGTTTTGACAACGATGGGGGTGAAGCCCCCAGGGATGTGCATCGTTCGCCAGCAGACATATGCTGTGGAGTATGACGACTAGTGTCACGAGCTGACCATTTGAAGCGGCCAAGCGGCTGCAGTCGGCCCGCAAGGGGCTATAGCCAAGAGCAGTCGGTGGCCGCAGCGGTCGAGCTGCGACTGCGTCGACTGCGGTTGATGGTCGCAGCGGTCGAGCTACGACCACGGCGATTCAGGTACAAAGGTACTTCCCCAGGAAGAGGGATTCATCATGTATATAAGCAGCTAGCTAGTCACTCGTTGAGGGAGTCTGGGACTTCCTCAGTAAAGCAAACACATTGATCACTGCTACTACCATTGCACATCTTTGGCGATTGAGACACCTGTTGTTGTGAACCCTTTGGCTTCACCGAATCACTTGCAGAACGTCGTTACCTTCGGAACCCTTTCAGAGTGCTCTGCACCCGACGGTTCGTCACAACTAGGCTAGTTTGGTGCAGATGAACGCTCTCAATAGTGTTAGTGGACGCAGGCCATAGGGGTCACACTTGACAGTATGTTGGTGAATAACAAGGGGATGGTATAATTGGCTTGTCTTGCACCTCGATCCCTCTGCGACTCTTGGATGTAGGAGGTTCGTGAGCCTGGTGGACAACGGAAGGTCGGCCTGACATTGCCATGGATTTCGAGATGGGAGAGCCGTGCCGGCTCTAATACTCAGGAGAAGGCCGGTTTTGTGGGGCCGCGCTGACGGCTGCCGGCCGCAAGGTGCGGCAGGTGGTTCGGAGCACTCCGACTTTCTTACCCGATTCGGACGGAATTCTGCCACATGTCGCCAACCTGACACATGTCGCCAACCTGACGCCGGTCTGTCGCAGGAATTTATTGACTTCGTCGTGCTATTGTTGCCCAGTGAATAGGCTCGGAGATTTTCTGTCTTTGTGAAGTGAGGCAGATTCCGGTGCCTTGTGCTTTGTTGGCCCGCAGCATGGATAGTACATGTGTCCGTGTTTGTAGGGCGTGTGTGCCATGATAAATTCATCACGCGCGGGCACCCTCTGCAGGCCTTTTCTCCTCCATGCCTTGTCCCCTCTACGGCTCACTTTGCCGCATTGTTCCTCTGCCTGTTGCCCGTTCCCGGCCCCTCGCGTGTTCCCGGTTCCTCTGACTCTTGTCGCCTCTTCCGCCCATGACCCCCCTCTTCTTCCAACACGACCATTGCCGCAACCGCCGTCATTTTTTTTCTCTCTTTTTTTTTTTTTTTTTAAAAAAAAAGTTTATCAAAATGACCAGCGCCAGCGGCGGCAGTAGCATCCTTGGGCTCCCCGACGCGGTGCTGAGGCAGATCTGTATGCAATTCTGCCCGCACTGCGGCGGGGAGGACTGCTTGGGCAGCAGCGAGCTGCCCGACAGTTTCTGGGGCCCCGAGTACTTCGGTACTCTGGGAGCCCTGGCCCAAGTAAACGTGCGCGTGGGCCGACAGGCGCAGGCCATCCGCCTGCATGTCTTCTGCGGCCGTCGGGACTCGCTCCCT